CGCGTCCTGCTCTTTGCCACCCGCGGGACGGCAGCACACCAGGCTTCCCTGTCCTTCTCTATCTCCCAGCGTTTGCTCAGTCTCATGTCCGTTGAGCCGGTGATGCCATCCAACCACCTCATCATCTGTCGCCCCCTTCTCCTCCTGCCCTCAGTCTTTCCCAGCATCAGGGTTTTTCTCATGAGTCAGCTCTTCACATCAGGTGGCCAAAGTATTGAAGCTTCAGCTTCAGGATCAGTCCTTCCAAAGAATATTCAGGTTGATTTCCTTTAGGATGGACTGGTTTGATCTCCTTGCTGTCCAAGGGATTCTCTGTAGAGCAAGATCACTCCAGCCAGCCTGAGATTTATTTTCCTTCTCCTCCTCACCCCCAGCCTCACCTTCCCTACCAACCATCCTGGGGTGGAACCCAGGGTCTGCAATAGCTGATGAGCGGGGGTAGCATAGGTGGTGTGCCGGGCGTGGAGTTATGCCCTGTATCTCCGTGCTGTGCCGCCTGAGGAAGCAGTACTATGCCTTTTATACCCATTTAAAAGAAGGGGAGACTGAGACACAAGAGGTGCCATTACTAGCCCAATGCCTTACAGCCAACGGCAGAGTCAGGATTCAAACCCAGGCCCTGTACCCTTACCCCCTTACCTGCCATACAGTAAACAGTAATAACAGCAAATAATAGATGATAATAACATGACACTGAGTGTTGGCTGTATCCTAGGCACAGTTCCAAGCATCATGTTGCATGTCATCACTCAGGCAAGTTGCACTCTAATCTTCTTAGTAAAAAGCATTTTTTTTTTTTACTGTGGTTTTTTTATTGTTTTATTTTTTCTTCTTGTCCTCTTCTTTTCAAGACTTTTAAAATTTTTATTGGTGTATAGTTGATTTACAATATTGTGTTAGTTTCAGGTATACAACAAAGTGATTCAGTTGTTCATATACATATATTCAATTTTTTTCAGATTTATTTCTCACGTAGGTTATCACAGAATATTGAGTAAAGTTTCCTGTGTTAATCAGTAGAACTGATTGTTGGTTTTCTATTTTATATATAGTAGTGTGTGTATGTTAATCCCAAGTTCCTGATTTATCCCTCCCTATTTTTTTTCTATTTTTTACTTATTTTATTTGTGTGTGTTTTAATTGAAGTATAGTTGATTTACAATATCATGTTAGTTTCAGGTGTCCAGCACAGTAATTCAGTCATTATATATATATATACCCATACATTTATTTTGAAGAAACTTCCCTGTGCTATCCAGTAGGTCCTTGTTGGTTACCTATTTTATCTATAGTAGTGTGTATGTTAATCCCAAGTTTCTGATTTATCCCTCCCTATTTTTTTCTCTTTTTTATGTATTTGTGTGTGTGTTGATAGAAGTATAGTTGATTTCCAATATCATGTTAGTTTCAGGTGTATAGCACAGTGATTCAGTCATTTTATATATATGTATGTATATATATATATAATTTCAGATTCTTTCCCCTTGTCGATTACTACAAAATATTGAATAAAGTTCCCTGTGTTATCCAGTAGGTTCCTGTGGAAAGTACAGCTTTAACCACATTTCACAGATGTGCAAACCGAGATCCAGGGAGGGGAAGCCAGGTGCCTGAGGCCACTCAGCTGGCTGCTCGCATACCCAGCAGGAGAGCCCAAGTGGCATGCTCCAGAACTCATGCCCTCACATGCACACACAGCACCACCACCAACAGAAACAATATTAGCACTAGCTTTGTGCCAGGCTCTTCAATGGGACTTTCTCTTGGGTTCCCCCTGCTCTTAAGATCATTCTGGAAATGTAGGGATGGGAAGCCCATGAAACCCTTAACACACTTGAGCGCTCGGCAAATAGTTGCTGCCAGTAATGTGACCTTTTCATGTCACCATTTACCCTCAGACCCTCAGACCTTTCTCAAATGTCAGCTCCTTCTCTGATCTCCCCATCACACAGTCCCCCATCCGTTCTCCAACACACACAAACACATGCCAACTCCTTGTTTTAAGGGTACCTATTCTCATCAGGAATCACTTTTTTTTGGCTGCATCATGCAGCTTGTGGGATCCTAGTTCCCTGACCAGGGATCAAACCTAGGCCTTTGGCAATAAAGCACAAAGTCTTAACCTGTGAACCACCAGGGAGTCCCAGGGATCACCTGTTTTGTTTTGTTTTGTTATCAAGTTGTGTAGCTCTTGCTTTTCCTAGAGAGAGAGCAGTGGAGAGGCTTTGTCTGCTCATTTAGTGCCACAGGTGAAGTGAAAGTCACTCAGTTGTGTCTGACTCTTTGCAGCCCATGGCCAGTCCATGGAATTCTCCACTCCATAAATATTCACTCACTGAGTGAACCATTATCACCATAATGAAAGCAGCTTCCACATGTCTAGTCCAGCACATAGTAAGTGCTCAATAAATGTCGGTTGAGTGAATAATATAACAATTATAGTCATACTAATGATGACCATTTATCTTTTCAATATTTTCCTGTTGTTGTTCAGGCGCTTAGTCAAGTCTGACTCTTCGTGACCCTATGGACTGCAGCATGCTATCAGTATCTTAATGTCACATAGTAGGAGCTTACAAATATTTTGGAATGAATAAGAGTAACAATAGGGGATAGAAAAGATGTGGTCCATATGTACAATGGAATACTGCTGTTGCTAAGTCACTTCAGTCGTGTCCGACTCTATGGGGTCGCACGACCCCATAGACGGCAGCCCACCAGGCTCCCCCGTCTCTGGGATTCTCCAGGCAAGAGTACTGGAGTGGGGTGCCATTTCCTTCTCCAATGCATGAAAGTGAAAAGTGAAAGTGAAGTCGCTCAGTCGTGTCCGACTCTTCGCGACCCCATGGACTGCAGCTTACAAGGCTCCTCGGTCCACGGGATTTTCCAGGCAAGAGTACTGGAGTGGGGTGTCATTGCCTTCTCCCCAATGGAATACTACTCATCCATAAAAAGTATGAAATAATGCCATTTGCGGCAACATGGATTGACCTAGAGATTATCATATTAGATGAAGTAAGTCAGATAGTGAAAGACAAATGGCATATGATATCACTTGTATGTGGAAGCTAAAATACGACATAAATAAACATGAAACAGAAACAGACTCACATAGAGAATGGTGTTGCGGTTGCCAAGGGGAAGAAGCGGAGGGAGAGGAAGTAGTGGGAGTTAGGGATTACCAGAAGCAAACTATTATATTTAGAATGGATAAACAACAAATTCCTACTGTGTAGCACAGGGAGCTATATTCAATACCCTATGATATACCATAATAGAAAGTATATGAAAAAGAATATATATAGTCTGAATATATATATATATAACATAAAACTGAATCACTTTGCTCTACAGCAGAAATTAACACAAAGTTGTAATCAACTATATTTCAATAAAATAAAAATTTTTAGAAAGAAAAACATTAGGGACTTCCCTGGCAGTCCAGTGGTTATGACTCTGCACTTCCAATGCAGGGGCTGAAAGTTCAATCCTTGATCAGGGACCTAAGATCCCGCATGCTTTGCAACACAGCCAAAATAAATAAATAAAAAAATTTTTAAAAATAATAACATTAGAGTGTCCATCAACAGATGAATGAATACAGAAGATGTGATATATACAAAATGGAATACTATTTAGCAGTAAAAAAAGAATGAAATGTTGCCATTTGCAGCAACATGTATGGACTTGGAGGGCATTATGCTAAGTGAAAGAAGTCAGACAGAGAAAGACAAATACTGTATAATATCACTTATATGTAGAATCTGAAAAATACAACAAATTAATGAATATAACAAAAAAAGAAGCAGACTCACAGATATAGAGAATAAACTAGTGGTTACCAGTGGGGAGAGAAGGGGCAACATAGGGTGAAAGGGGAGCCACAAACCATTAGGTGCAAGATAAGTCACAAGGATGTATTGTACAACATAGGAAATATAGCCGATATTTTGCAATAACTGTAAATGGAGTGAAAGTGTTAGTTGCTCAGTCCTGTCTGACTCTTTGCGACCCTATGGACTGTAGCCCACCAGGTTCCCCTGTCCATGGGATCCTCCAGGCAAGATACTGGAGTGGGTTGTCACTCCCTTCTCCAGGGGATCTTCCCGACCCAGGGATCGAACCCGGGTCTCACACACTGCAGGCAGATTCTTTACCGTTTGAACCACCAGGGAGTGTGACCTTTAGAAACTGTATAAAAATTTTAAAGTTTAAAAAAAGTTTTGAAAGAATAACATTAGGAATAACAATAAAAACTACTTGGGAAAAAAACAAAAAACAAACAAAAAAAACTACTTGGGGAATTCCCTGGCGGCTCAGTGGTTAAACCTCCGTGCTTCCACTGCAGGGGGAATGGGTTCGATTCCTGGTTAGGGAATTAAGACCCCACTTGGCCCACCAAAAAAAAAAACAAACAAAAAAAAGCAGCTACGTTTTTCCTGCTGAGAGTGTAACTCATAGTTCTTGTCACTGAACGGAAGAATAAATTAATTAGCAAATATTTATGGCATGTATTAATTAATAAATTACACACACATTGAGCACCCAGCACTGGGCCCTGGGGACACAGACATGAAAAGGACTAAGTCCCTGCTCTACTGGGGCGGACGTGAGTGTCAGAGAGACAGGAGAAACAAGATGAGTGGATGGGTGGATGAATGAATGGTTGGGTGGTTGGATGGATGAATGGATGGATGGACAGATATTCGGTTCCTTGGAGGGAGAACGGGTTGGTCTGGGGTCTCCGCCCATCCTCATTCCAGAGCGCCAAGGGAAAGTGAGGCGGGGAATTTTGTCACATCTTAAGCTCCGCCCCCCCGCCCGGCCCCCGCAGCGTCTTCCCGTCGGCCGACGGCGCCGCTCACCTGGTGGCCCTCCCCTTTAAGACGCGTTCACCTGGTGCTCACCTGCGCGCGGGTGCTTCCGCAGGAAGAAGGAAGCGGCGCCACCGTCGCCTCCCGGCGCTCCCTCCCCATCCCCCAGGTCCGCCGGCCGCCACCATGTCCGCCTCGGCTGTCTTCATCCTCGACGTCAAGGGCAAGGTGAGGCTGGGTGCAGGGAATGGGAGACCGACAGCTGGAGGTTGCTCCCTCTCGGACCCTGCGTGCGGCCCCTCCTTACAGGCAGGGAGATTCCGGGAAGCCCTGGGGGCGTGGGAACACCCCTCCCCCAATTCCTGGGACTCCGGCGTCGAACCCCACCTCCACTGTTTACTAGCGGCGTGTCTGAAGGAAGGGGCTTCGCCTCTGAGCCTCAGTCTCCCTGTCTGTCAGATGGGAATAACAGAGGTCCCCACCCAAGAAGAATACAGCCGTATGCAGTGTATACTACTTAGTACAGTGGCCCTACTACAAACAGTAGGCGTTCAATCAATTGAAATTAGTATTTCTATCACCGTCATCATCCACTGTACTGATATTTGGGGAAGAAAGCCGGGGCTGCCTTGTCTCTTTCTGGCGCCCCCTCCCATTCATCTTGTTCTGTCTGGGGTGGGTTGCCTTGCTCTCCTCCAGGAGATCTTCCGGGCCCAGGGATTGAACCTGCATCTCTTTGGTCTCCTGAATTGCCAAGTGGGTTCTTTACCAGTAATGCCACCTGGGAAACCCAGCAATAGTAACGGTGGTGATGAGAATAATATTCCTGATAATAATCATAGTGAGGGCTAAGATGTGTGAGGACGTGCTGGGTACCCTCCTTCGTTCTAAACACTGGACTAAACAACCTCCTCACGTAAATATTATTAAAATGAACCACTTACTACCTGCCAGGCAGAGCTATATGCGCTATGAGTGATAAATGGATATAATCGTATTTCTTTTCTTTTTTCCTCTCTCTTTCTTTTCTTTCATCACCCCTACCTCGCTGATTTGGTGCCTGTGAAACCTTGCTCAAGAGCAGGATTTCTGGAGCCAGGGCGTCTTGGCTCAATTCCCAGCTTCCTCGCGGGCTATGGACCGGGTCCATACCTCAGTTTCTCCATGTGTAAAATGGAGATGGTGAGACCACCTACCTCACAGGGTTGTGGGACAACGACCTAAGTAAGCAAACATCCAGGCTTTAGCAGAGCACGGCTGAGGTGTCAGTGAGGGCTCTAGACGCTCTGGCTGTCGCTATCATGAGCCCATTTTACAGAGGAGGAAACTGACATGCCGAGAGGCAGAGCCTTGTCCGTGTCCCCTCAACCAGAAAGTAGGGTCAGAACCTGGCACTCTGATGCCCCCGGTGGGGAGGTCCCTGGATCCCAGCAATGACCAAACCTTCTCTGCTCATCCTCAGCCCCTGATCAGCCGCAACTACAAGGGTGATGTGGCCATGAGTGAGATCGATCACTTCATGCCTCTGCTAATGCAGCGGGAGGAGGAAGGCGCGCTGACCCCACTACTGAGTCACGGACGGGTCCACTTCCTGTGGATCAAATACAGCAACCTCTACTGTATCCGGCCACGGGTGGGTCCCTGGGGGCCTGGGGTGGTGGCATCTCAGGCCTGGAGATGATGGGCTGGGACGAGAGGTGCACGACACAGCCGTGGCTCAGGTTGGAGAGTGGGAGCGGACAGGTGGCGTTTCCGGGTCTGCGCTCCACTGGGACCCTCGAAAAGGCTGCCTTTCCTTAACCTCGCTGCCGCAGTGGTGGCCACCACACTGAAGAACGCCAACGCCTCCCTGGTGTATTCCTTCCTCTACAAGATAGTGGAGGTAGGTTCTGGCCTTCTGTTGGCTGCCTCGTCTGTCCGTCCACCTGTCTTGCCCGCCTCTTTCAAGATCCATCCCACCTAGGAAGCCTTCCCTGACTTCCCAGGGGGTGCCACCATCAAAGCCCCATCACTCTGTTCTCATCAGCTGTTGTGGGATCAACTCTCTCTATGGGGCAGGAAGCAAAGAAGTCTCCGAGTCGGTGTCCTGCTCAAATCTGAACCCGAGGATACTGGGTTCCAGACCCAGCTCTGCTGCTTACTGGCTGTGTGACCTTGGACAAGTTTCTTCTCTCTGTGCCTCTCAGTTCAGCTCAGTTCAGTTGCTCAGTCGTGTCCGACTCTTTGCGATCCCATGAATCGCAGCACGCCAGGCCTCCCTGTCCATCACCAACTCCCGGAGTTTACTCAAACTCATGTCCATCGGTGATGCCATCCAGCCATCTCATCCTCTGTTGTCCCCTTCTCCTCCTGCCCCCAATCCCTCCCAGCCTCAGGGTCTTTTCCAATGAGTCAAGTCTTTGCATGAGGTGGCCAAAGTATTGGAGTTTCAGCTTTAGCATCAGTCCTTCCAATGAACACCCAGGACTGATCTCCTTTAGGATGGACTGGTTGGATATTCTTGCAGTCCAAGGGACTCTCAAGAGTCTTCTCCAACACCATAGTTCAAAAGCATCAATTTTTCGGTGCTCAGCCTTCCTCACAGCCCAATTCTCACATCCATACACGACCACTGGAAAAACCATAGCCTTGACCAGACGGACCTTTGTTGGCAAAGTAATGTCTCTGCTTTTTAATATGCTATCTAGGTTGGTCATAACTTTCCTTCCAAGGAGTAAGCGTCTTTTAATTTCATGGCTGCAATCACCATCTGCGGTGATTTTGGAGCCCCCAAAAATAAAGTCTGACACTGTTTCCACTGTCTCCCCATCTATTTGCCATGAAGTGATGGGACCAGATGCCATGATCTTAGTTTTCTGAATGTTGAACTTTAAGCCAACTTTTTCACTCTCCTCTTTCACTTTCATCAAGAGGCTTTTTAGTTCCTCTTCACTTTCTGCCATAAGGGTGGTGTCATATGCATATCTGAGGTTACTGATATTTCTCCCAGCAATCTTGATTCCAGCTTGTGCTTCTTCCAGCCCAGTGTTTCTCATGATGTACTCTGCATATAAGTTAAATAAGCAGGGTGACAATATACAGCCCTCACGTACTCCTTTTCCTATTTGGAACCAGTCTGTTGTTCCATGTCCAGTTCTAACTGTTGCTTCCTGACCTGCATACAGGTTTCTCAAGAGGCAGTTCAGGTGGCCTGGTATTCCCATCTCTTTCAGAATTTCCCACAGTTTATTGTGATCCACACAGTCGAAGGCTTTGGCATAGTCAATAAAGCAGGAATAGGTTTTTCTGGAACTCTCTTGTTTTTTCGATGACGCAGCAGATGTTGGCAATTTGATCTCTGGTTCCTCTGCCTTTTCTAAATCCAGCTTGAACATCTGGGAGTTCACGGTTCACGTGAACCTGGCTGAAGCCTGGCTGGGTTTAATCCAGACGGTCTAGTGGTTAAGACCCCATGCTTCTACTGCAAGGGGCGTGAATTCCCTGATCAGGAAACTAGGATCCCACCTGCTGCAAGGTACAACCGAAAAAAAAAAAAAAGAAATACTATAAACCGGGTTTAGTCCTGCCTCAGGGTTGTTGTACAAAATAATTCAATCCAATTCATACCTCTAGAGCACTGAAAACAGTGCCTAGTATACAGTAAACTGCTTAATAAAAGTTTGGTATTGCTAGCATTACTACTAATGTCATATCATATGATCACATAGTAATCTTTTGAGCACTTACTATATGCCATTCTCAATGATTGAGAAAGTACTTTTTTTAACTGCTCAGAATTTTATTTGGTAAACAGAGGATAGTACACCCCCAAGGGGTGAGGACAGGCTGACCCTGAAGAAGTGGCTGAGAAAGTACTTTTTTTTTTTTGGTCACCTCCTGGCTTACAGGATCTTAGTTCTCTGACCAGGGATTGAATTCACGCTCTTGGCTGTGAAAGGGTTGAGTCCTAACCACTGGACTGCTGGGGAATTCCCAGAGGGATTTTTGGGATACTTTTCATCAAATAAGAGATCTGTATTGATTTGTCTCCTCTCTGCTAGGCAGAGGAGGGACACACAGCTGTGTATAAGGCAGGCACAGTCCTGGCCTGTGCTCAGGAGTTAAAGGGCATGAAGGATATTCAAGGGGACATTGTGATAACCAGTGACTGGGTGGGTGCTAGTCTCACCCTGATACTCACAGGGGTCAAGGGATAGTGGTGGCTTCACCAAGGAGTTAAGGCCTGTCTCACGGAGCCTGTGTGAGGAGAGTATCCTAAGCAGTGAGCATAGCATGTGCAAAGGTCCTGAGGTGGGAACAGAAAAAAGGCCAGAGAAGCTGGAGAAGGATAAGGGATGGGGTTTCCAGTGTTGGGTGCATGACAGAGTCTCTGCTAAGGAGAAACTTACTAATTCCCAGGGGCTCCCATCTGGGGGGGGGGTCCCCCAAGTCCCAAGGGCCCCTGGAAGGAATTCAAGGAATCCATGAACTTAGATGTATTTCTGTGTAGTGTAACAGTTTTCCTTTGCCATCTTATGGGGTTATTTTCGTTGGTTTTTGTTTTGCTCTTGCTGCATGGCTTGGCTGGTGGGATCTTAGTTCCCCAACCAGGGATTGAACCTGGGCCCTCAACAGTGGAAGCACGGAGTCCTACCCATTGGAGTGCCAGAGAATTCCCATATTCTGTCTTTTGTGTTGTGTGTGTGTATCTTTTATTTCATGCATTAACAAACCTTATTCTGAGGTGGGTCCATTAACATCACCAGATACACGGCAATCCATGATTCACAAAAAAACAAACATTCTGAGTCCTTCCAGTCCCTCCTCCAGGAAGTCTTCTTGGACCTCCCTGCCTCTGGGTTCCTACTTCACTTGTTTTCCTCATTATTGCACTCTACATGTTGGATAATATTAGTCCCACTACCTGTCCATTCCCCCTCATGACTGTTCCAGGAGGGCAGAGACCTTGTTGGCTTTGTTCACCATTAATGTACTGATACTGGTATACAGTAGGTACTCAATAGTTGCTTATTGGGTGGCTGGCTGGATGAGTGGGAATCCAGCCCAGGAGCAACACCAGCCACATCTCTATGGGTGTTGGTCTCCTCGCACCCCAGGTATTCTCTGAATACTTCAAGGAGCTGGAGGAGGAGAGTATCCGAGACAACTTTGTCATCGTCTACGAACTGCTAGATGAGCTCATGGACTTCGGCTTCCCACAGACCACAGACAGCAAAATCCTGCAGGAGTGAGTGGGCCGTGGGTGGAAGAAACCTGGGGAGGGTCGGGGAAGTATCCTTGGGCCTATCTGCTCATCTCCCTGCCCGCCGCGCCAGGTACATCACACAGCAGAGCAACAAGCTGGAGACGGGCAAGTCACGAGTGCCACCCACCGTCACCAATGCTGTGTCCTGGCGCTCGGAGGGCATTAAGTACAAGAAGAATGAGGTCTTCATCGATGTCATAGAGTCCGTTAACCTGCTGGTGAGCCTCCGCGCCTCTGCCCCACCCTCGCTACAGCCAAGGGCCAGGAGAGGGAGCCCTATGCTCGTTAACCGCCTCCCACATCACCAGTGTTTGCATCCTTAGGTCAATGCCAACGGCAGCGTCCTGCTGAGTGAGATCGTGGGCACTATCAAGCTTAAGGTGTTTCTGTCGGGAATGCCAGAGCTGCGGCTGGGCCTCAATGACCGTGTACTCTTCGAGCTCACTGGCCGTAAGTTTCTGGAAGGGGGCGCAAGGGGGAGCCTGAGACCTCGCCTCATCTGCGGTGGGTGGTACCCAGAGACCTGCGGTCAACTCTGAAATAGTACTCGTCTGCCCTCTACTGGTCTTAACCAGTACTGCAGCTGCTCGTGCCTTAATGCAAACAACTCTGCTTCATTATTGAGGGCCAGGCCCAAGGACAGGGCAGAAAAGAAAAAATAATCCCTGCCCTCACGGAGCTGACATTCTAGTGGGAGTAGGAGACAGAATAGCATTACATTTCTTCCCTGGTGACTCAGACAATAAAGACTATGCCTGCAATGCAGGAGACCCGGGTTCGGTCCTTGGGTCAGGAAGATCCCCTGGAGAAGGGAATGGCTACCCACTCCAGTATTCTTGCCTGGAGAATTCCATGGAGAGAGGAGTCTGGCGGGCTACAGTCTATGGGATCACAAAGATTCGGACACAGCTGAGCGACTAATACTCACAGGATAACATCCTGATAGCAAGGGCCTGATTCCCTGGGGTTCCCAGCTGTGTTCCTGGCCAGCTGGGTGACCGCGAGCAAGTTACTCATCCTCTCTAGGCCTCAGTTTCTTCATCTGTAATATGGGGGTGATCGTAGCAATAGACAGGGAAGGTAAGGATAAGGACCCTGCCCTGGGTTCCGGTGTTATCCACTAACTCGGCTCTGAGTTTCAGGGAGCAAGAACAAGTCTGTGGAGCTGGAGGATGTGAAATTCCATCAGTGTGTGCGGCTCTCTCGCTTTGACAATGACCGCACCATCTCCTTCATCCCGCCCGACGGTGACTTTGAGCTCATGTCCTACCGCCTTAGCACCCAGGTGAGGCAGGGTCGAGCCCCTGGCGGGGGGCGAGGGTTGACCCCAGAGCCTTGGAGAACTCCCTCTTCCTCTGTCTGCAGGTCAAGCCGCTGATCTGGATTGAATCTGTCATTGAGAAATTCTCACACAGCCGCGTGGAGATCATGGTCAAGGTGGGCCCCCAGGGTAATAATTACAGTGCTCAGATCACCCCTCTTACCCCATCAGCAGTCTAACCATATCTCCCACCTCCCTCCCCAGTCATCACTTCCTTCCAGCCACGCAGGTCTTCTGGCTGGTTCTCAAACATGCCAGGCATGGTCCCTGACTATCCCCTCTCCCTGGAGCACTCTGCCCCCAGCCACCCAGACATCCCCCTGGCTCTTTCCCTCACCTCCTTCAATTCTTTGCTTCACTGTCACCTCCTCAGAGGAGCCTTCCCTGATTTCTCCACCTCCCTTCTTTGCTCTGTTTTTTTCCCCTTATTACTGAACCACCACCGTGTGACACATGATCTGTTTTATTACTTAATTTACTTTAAAAATATACATTTATACTACTTTATAAATTTAAATTTACATTTACATTTATGAATTTACATTTATATTCATATGAATTCCTATACATACATATTCATATATGTATATAAACCATTGAGTGTGTTAAAGATCAATGTTATCATTGTCATACCACAACATCATATCATACCACCAGCTTAATTGAGCATGCCTGGTTCAACCAGCACCTCTGAACCCCCACCTGCCCCTTGCCCAGTCATGGCTCCCCTCACCCTTGCCCACAGGTGATCACAATTTTGAATTTCATGTAAATTGTTTCTTTGCTTTTGTTTGTAATTTTGCCACCCTCATCTGTAACCGCAAATACTTTATTCTGCCAGTCTCTCACCTTTATATCCGTGAACTCTTGCTGTATAATTTTTTTGTATAATTTGCCTTCTTCATGTAATGTTGACTTTTAAGAGGAATCCCAGGACCTGTAGCGTAGGGCATCCATCTCGGTGACTACAGAATGAGAATCTTCTGTCCTGCGTCTCTCATGGGTTGTCTTCAGTTCTTGGCTTCTCCGGTTCACATTGCCATGGATAGCCCTGTGCATGTCCCCAGTCCCCCAAACAAGAGCTTCTCCAGAACATATAATTAGTCCCTCCCCTCCCTTAAAAGAATTTTTTCTTTCCCCCAGTCTCTTTTTTAATTAAAAAAGTTGGGGCGGGGGTCACAGAAGGGCACACCATACTGCATGCTGGATTTTAGTTCCCTGACCAGGGATTTAACTTGTGCCCTGTGCATTGGGAGTGCAGAGTCTTAACCACTGGACCACCAGGGAAGTCCTTAGCCCCGTTTACAGATGGGGACAGAGGCCCAGAAGAACTAAGATGTCATTCATCTAGGAAGGGAGGGGGCACGTTGAACTTGGGTCTGCCTGGCTCAAGAGTCTGTGTTCTCAGATTTAACTTTGTTCCCGTCTTAGAATCTCGGGGAACTCTTTCGTGATGTGGACAGTCACGGTGGGGGGGGTTGGTGTTGGTGCTCCCCAATGTCCCTGTCTCTATAGGCAGGGAAAGGAGAAGGTGCCACTAAAGCTGGTGCCTTCCTGGGGCTTCCCTGGTGGTCCAGTGAAGACTCTGAAATTCCAGTGTAGAAGGGTTTGATCCCTAGTCAGAGAGCTAGATCCCACATGCTGCAACTAAGCCCTGGCACAGCCAAATTAAAATAAATATTAAAAAGTTGGTGCCTTTCAGAAAGAACATCCCCTGCCCTGTTTTACCTCCAGGTCCTCTGCGCCAATCCTACCTCTCATATATCCCCACCCCTTGGCACCAGATGATTAAGTAAGAGCAGTTATCATAGTGGTAGCTACTGCACATGGACACTTAGAGTCCTTGTGTTAAAAGCTTGCCCGTGTCAAAATGGATCTGGATCTAGCTATAATGTAATAACTTATTATCTGTGAGGAGAGCATGTGAGGATTGAGAACACAGGCTCAAGTCAAATCTCTGCTGTGCCGGCTGCCAGCTACACAACTCAGGCCACGTGCTCTTTCTCTCTGGGCCTCAGTTTCTTCATCTGTAAAATGAACCTTTGGAATTTCCTACTTTAGAGAATTAGTGAGAGGGTTAAGTTCTTGGCACAGGGCCCTGCACGTGGTAGGGGCTCTGTAGATGCCAGCTTTCAATTGAAAACTCAGAAAGTCCCTGGTGGTCTATTGGTTAGGACTCTGAGCTTCCACTACTGGGGACATGGGTTCAATCCCAGACTGGGGAACTAAGATCTGCACGTTGCAGCACTGCCAAATAAAAAAAAAAAAAAGGAAAATTCTGATAGACTGAGGGTCCCATCCTGACTTTGCAGGTGTGAGTATGTGAGTCTTGACCAGGAGCCTTTATTATCTTGTCTGTGAAAAGGGCTGAGAGGTGAGCCTGACCTAGGAGCTGCTCAAATGAGGGATTACATTTTGAAGCAAGAAAAGGTATATGATACTTTCCAAATGGAAGGCACCAAAAGCAGAACCGCTGGAGTCTCTTGTGGGTGTGACTCTGCCCCTTGTTGGCTGTGGTGTCTCCACAGAAATGCCTTAATTTCTCTGTGCCTCTGTTCCCTCATCTGGAAAATGGACAGTATCGTAGTCCCCACTTCTGGGCTCTAGAAATGGCACGTGGAAAGGTTTTGGTCCCCATTTGCATGAATGCACTCTTCACACCCCACATTCTCTCCACCGACAGGCCAAGGGGCAGTTTAAAAAGCAGTCGGTGGCTAATGGCGTAGAGATATCTGTGCCCGTACCCAGTGATGCCGACTCCCCTCGATTCAAGACCAGTGTGGGCAGCGCCAAGTATGTGCCAGAGAAGAACATGGTTATTTGGAGCATCAAGTCTTTCCCGGTGAGCCCCAGGGACGGGATGGGGAACAGGAGGACCAGCCCTTGATGAGTGAGGGCAAAGCAGAGAATAAATCAGAGCCACATATGCACGCACGTGGCTGTCCTTTGCAGATGATAAAACTGGATGATGGTTAAGCTCTCCCTGTCCTAGGTCTTGAGGAAACCAGCCCTGGGTTCAGTTTCCTCACCCTTGCTTCTCTGAGCTACCCAGCCTTGGGGATCCCACTTCCCCTCATGAAGCCTCAGTGTATCCATCTGTGAAATAGATAGAATCATGCTGCCCATATCCTTGGGCTGCTGGAAGATTTGGTCTCATTTTGGGATCTTGGTTGGGCGATGTTCATCAGCCCCTGGAAAATGGGAGATGATCACCAGAAGGCCCCCAACTAGGCTTTGCTGTCAGAAGCTTCATCTGCAAGTTTGGGCTAGGAGCCTTTACTTTCTGGTCTGTCAAATGGGCTGAGAGCAAAGCCCACCCCCAGGGGGCTGCCATGAGGAGTGGTCTGGGGTATAGGGGCCCTCAATGTGTCTGATACCCTCATGTTCCCTCAGGGGGGCAAGGAGTACCTGATGCGTGCCCACTTTGGCCTCCCCAGCGTGGAGAAGGAGGAAGTAGAGGGCCGGCCCCCCATTGGGGTGAAGTTTGAGATCCCCTATTTCACTGTCTCCGGGATCCAGGTGAGGGAAGGGGGCAGGGTGGTTCCTCTCCTTGACCTTGGTGGGTCCCCCTTTCTCACATCTCTTGTCTCAGACCACCTCCGTTCCCTGGCTTGGCTTATCTCCTCCTATACAATCATTCTTGTCTTTTCCTGGAACAGTGTTACTTTTTCTTTAAACAAACATTTTAATTTCAACTTTTGGGTGTGCTGGGTCTTCATTGTTGTGCGTGAGCTTTCTCTAGTTGCAGTGAGTACGGGCTATTTTTTCAATTGCGGTGGCTTCTCTTGTTGCAGAGCATGGGCTCTAGAGCCCGAGGGTTTTAATAGTTGCAGAATGCAGCCTCAGTAGTTGCAGAACACAGGCTTAGTTGTTCCTTGGCATGTAGGATCTTCCTGGACCAAGGATCAAACCCATGTCCCCTGCATTGGCAGGCAGATTCTTTTTTTCAAAAGTGATTTTATTTATTTATTTTTGGCTGTGCTGGGTCTTCATTGCTACACAGACTTTTCTCTAGCTGTGGTGTGTGGGCTTCTCACTGGTGGCTGCTCTTGTGGAGCACGGGCTTTAGGGCACACAGGTTTCAGTAGTTGCAGCACGTGGCCTCACTAATTGTGGCTCCTGGGCTCTAGAGCACAGGCTCAGTAGTTGCGGCGCATGGGTTTTGTTGCTCCAGGGCATGTGGGATCTTCCCAGATCAGGGATTGAACCTGTGTCTCCTGCGTTGGCAGGCAGATTCTTAACCACTGAACCATCAGGGAAGTCTTACGGTGTTGGCCTTTTCTGCTCTCACCCTGGGTCCCCTTCCCCTCCCCTCTAACTTTGCCCTGTGCCTAAACTCTATTTTGTCAATTCTCTTAGAATGTGCCATCTTTCCCACTGTCCTGGACCACCTGATCTCCCCCGCACACATACACTGTCCTGGTCACATCTTTGCCCTGAGCCTCGTTACTTCATTCCTCCCAGGCTGTGCTTTCTTATTCCCGGAAGTTGTGTTATTTATGTTCCCCTGGCCCCAGCCTGCTCTCTCCCCCTACGCTGGGTCACCTCCTTTCATCCCTTTCCAGGTCCGATACATGAAGATCATTGAGAAGAGTGGTTACCAGGCCCTGCCCTGGGTCCGCTATATCACCCAGAGTGGCGGTAAGGCAGCCCAGCTCCCTGAAATGACAGGGACAGGAGATGAATGGGGATGGTCCTGGGGCTTTGAAACATCTTGTCCCAGAGGGCTTCAAAACCGACAGGCGTGGCCCCCAGGTCTGCCCTATCTTTGTCAGTGTGCCCTCCCGAGTCTCAGTCTGCCTATCTTTAAAATGGACACAGTTGCCAATTCCAGGGGAGTGGAGGTGGGGTTTGGATAAGCAACTGAACACACAGCAGCCCCATCTATTGCCTGGAAACAGGCATGTTGCTGAGGTTACAGTCGCCATGTTTAAGCCCATCCTTAGTCCTGTTACCTACCTGTGGGGTTGATCATGAGCACTGGGGAAGGGGATGGGTTGTGGGTGGGGTGCTGTCCTTCTGTCTCCTTCCCCCAATTCTGAGATGGTCCCTGCTCATTGTTCCCCTGCAGATTATCAACTTCGTACCAGCTAGAAGGGAGAAGTGAGGGCTTGAACCTGGGCTGTCTTCTCCCCAGGCCCCAACTGCAGACTCCACTAGAGAAGGAGGGAAGATGGTGTGTGTGTGTGTGTGTGTGGTGTGTGTGTGTGTGTGTGTGTGTGGTGTGTGTGTGTGTGTGTGTGGTGTGTGTGTGTGTGTGGTGTGTGTGTGTGGTGTGTGTGTGTGTGTGGTGTGTGTGTGTGTGTGTGTGTGGTGTGTGTGTGTGTGTGTGGTGTGTGTGTGTGTGTGTGTGTGTGTGTGTGTGTGTGTGTGCAGCCCTTGAATTACTGGTTTGTTACTCCCAGCACCTGACTTGCTCCTTCCTTTCTCCCTTACTGGTAGGCTGGGAGTGATAGTCTCCAGCTCTCAGACTCTCACCCCTCCCCTTCCTCCAATTTTATATGAAGAAATAGAAGAGGGGCTTGAAGTCCCCCTCATGAGTGCCTTCTTGCAGTGACCTGCCTTAGGAGGTATGGGGAGTCCCTCCTCCACAGCTGCTGAGCCCAGAGGCTCCGCTGGCCCATTTCTGAGTTTTAGGATGACATTAAAAAGATGAATCTAGCTGCTGTCATGTACTTCTTGGCTGGGGGATGGGGATGCCAGGGGTGTCCCTTGAGTGCTGGGATAAGAGTGGGCAACATATATCCAATTCTCAGCCCTGGTCATTTCTCATCTGAGCCCTCGTGATTGCCTCCACCTTGGTCTCCCAGGCTCTGGGCTTCCCTCTCCCATGACAGTCACGTTCCCCTTCTCATGACAGCCAGTTCCCATCACAGCCACCAGAGGGCGCCTATAACTCCTAAACCAGATCGTGGCTCCTCAATACGGAAGCTTCCCAGGGTTTTCCGCTCTGATTTTTGTCGTTCTGGGCAGCACGCGGGACTGTAGTTCCCGACCAGGGATTGAACCTGGACCCCCCCCTGCAGCGGATGCGCGGAGTCTTAACCACTGGACCGCCAGGGAAATTCCCCATTCTTTTTCAAAAGTAAAAGTGCTCACCGCAGCCCACAAGCCTGTTCAGCCCTCACCTCCTCCCCCTTCTCTCCCTCTATCCTCACTCTTCCTGGACTTACTAGACATGTTTCCACCTCGGCCTTTGAATCTGCAGCACCTCCATCTGTTTCTCCCGAGAGCCACATGGCTCCTTCCCTCACCTTCAGTTCTCAAATCAAATGTCACCATCTCAGGGCGGCCATCCCCGACCTCTCTATTTCAAAGCCTTCTTTTCCCAAGACACTATTATTTATCTCGTTTTGTCAGCTCCACAGTGTTTACCACTCTGAAAATATTTATTGTCGTCTCCAGCTCTGAAAGGTAAGCACCCAGCAGCCAGGAGGCACCCGGCTTGCTCTCCACTGGGGTGCCTACTACACAGTAGGGGGTCAGTAAATGTGTGAAGGCCCCGCTGTTGAAGGCCCCTGTTAAGGGCCTCCGACGCTACTCTCGCCTCTCAGGCTCACCCACGTGGCAGCTGGAGAATGAACTTTCTTCCACGCCCTTGCATTTGCTGTGCCAGAGCTGGCGCAATCTGAGCCAAACGTGATTCCTTTCTCACTCACCCCCTATCTATGCTTTATTTTCCTCACAGTGCTTAACACTAAAATTACTTAGTAGCTCGAATGCTGGCCCCCCAGCGCCAGGAACCGCTTCGGCACACAGTGAATGAATGAAATAAAGCGCTAAGCACAGTAAGAACTAACAAATATCGCACCGCATAACTCCAAGCTGGGCGGCCCCAGCCCTGCCTCCCTTTCCCTCGGAGGTGCCGAGGTCCCGGAGCAGCCCGCGCTACCCTGCTCCTGACCTTTCTCCCCTGGGTCAGTTAAACGGGCCCTCTTTCCCGCCCGCCGGTCGCTTTTGAAAAACCGAAAACCCCGCCATTGTCCGCGGTCCACCGGTCGCCGCAGCTCGTCCAATCAGGAGCGGGCCCGCCCACGCCGGCACCCAAAGCCTCCCTGGCGACGCGTGGCCATTGGCTTCGCTGGCCAGGAGGGCGGAGCACTACAGGGTCGGGAGCCGGGCAACGCGGCTGGGCTACAACGTAGCAAGTTCATAAGAAAACAAATCCGCGGCGTTTGGGGGCGGGACCGCGAGAGCTCTGGCTCCGCCCCCTGGCGGCTTGCTCCACAGCGGCGGAGACGCTGGCTCAGAACAGACCCCGCCCGTCGAGGAGGAGGGAGGGTGAGTTGGGGGGAGACCCGGCCCCCAAGGGGCGGGCGCCGGGCAGGGCCCTGCGGGCTAGCGGAGGGTTGGGCCCAGGCTCTTAGTCCTTCTCTACCCACCGGGTGACAGGGGGAGGAGCCGGCCGGGAGGGCGGGGGTCGCGCCCGAGACCCGGACAGGAGAGTCCTACCCGTAGCCTGGTTGCAGGCCGGGGACGCTGCGGGAGGGCTGTTCGGGCCAGCGCCGTGGGCTCCCCCGCACTGACAGCCGCGGGGTGGGGCGGGGGGCTTCACAGGCCGCCAGGGTCGACATGCTTCTGGAAGAGGTCCACGCCGGCGACCGGCTGAGCGGGGCGGCGGCCCGAGGAGACGTGCAGGAGGTGCGCCGCCTTCTGCACCGCGAGCTGGTGCACCCAGACGTTCTGAATCGCTTTGGCAAGACGGCGCTGCAGGTGAGCCCGGGCCGGCCCACAGACCCCTTCCCTCTTCTCTCTTGTTCCCGTCGGTAGGCGACTGAGGTCTGTTCCTGCATCTCTGGGCTGACTTGACTCCCTGATGTCCCCTTTCTTAGGTGGGTGGTGGATGGGGTTAGGTTGGGGGAGGGGAGAGCTTTCCATCTTTGGAGGATTCCTTGTTCTCTGATTGCGATGGATTCAGTTTCCCTGGAGAAGTTCTTATTCCCTGAGTGAGAGTTCAGCTTCTTTGGATCCGAGTTTCATGAGGGCGGCTCCAATGTCTTGGAGCATCTATGGACGATCCGACCTCAGGAAGGAAGAATTCGTATTTCCAAGGTGTACCCATTTTCTGGGGGTTCTCTGAGAGGTATCCAGTTTCTTGTGGGGGAGAATCTCTATTCCTACGGGGTTTTCATATTGGCATATGGGGGGGGGGATACCAATAAGGGAATAGTCACAGATTACATGGGAGTCCCTGTTCCCTTGGGGACATTTACAAAAGGGGACCCCCATTTCATCAGAGAGGATCCCCACTATATGGGGAGGGGGAAATTCCTTGGAGAAGGGGTTTTAAATTCCCTGGCCATCTCCATTTCCTGGAGGGGACTGTTCTCTGAGGTCTGTTTCCTGGTGGGGTTCATATTTCCTGATGATTTCCCATCTGTGGGGAGAAGTGTCTCTGGTTCCTTGGGGGAGGGTCTTAGGTTCCTTGAAATCTTCCATGGGGGCTATAGCCAAGCGGGGGGTGACCACTTTTTTGGAAGGTCCTTATTCCCAGGAGATCTTGTTCTCTGGGGTCTCAACAGCTGCCTGGAAGTTTATGCTCCTCGGAGTTTCCCCTTCTCTTGAGAACCGTATATCTGGCATTGTCAACTCCTGAATGTCCTCTCTCTCCAGTCACCCATTTCCCGGACTTCCTCCTTTGGAGACTCCTTGACCCTTCTCTACCCCCACCCCCCCCACCAGGTCATGATGTTCGGCAGTCCCACCATTGCCCTGGAACTCCTGAAGCAAGGCGCCAGCCCCAATGTCCAGGACGCCTCGGGCACCACTCCGGCCCACGATGCAGCCCGCACTGGATTCCTCGACACCCTAAAAGTTCTGGTGGAGCACGGCGCCGATGTCAACGCACCCGATGGCACCGGGGCGCTCCCCATCCACCTGGCCGTGAGCGAGGGCCACACCCCTGTGGTCAGCTTCCTGGCTGCCGAGTCTGATCTCCATCACAGGGACGCCAGGGGGCTCACACCCCTAGAGCTGGCACGGGGGCGAGGGGCCCAAGAGCTCATGGACATACTGCAGCGGCACACGGTGGCACCCCTGTGACCTGGGGCCACCCACTCCGGCAGCAGGACCCAGCTGAGTTCTGTGTCAGAAGAGGGAAGAAACACTTTCTCCTTTTGCTCCTCCTGCCCGCTGCCGAGGGGCACCGGTTTGTGGCTTGTTGGTGTTGATTTCTGGGGTGTGTGTGTTTGACGTGCATTTCTCGTTTTTTTTTTCTCACCCCTTTCGGTGTGTTGGGCAGAGAAGGGCTCCTACAGGCAACAGCCACCTAAACGGTTCAGTTTCTTACACGCCTAGAGTCCCAAGGGCAGAGCGTTTAAAACCCCAACCCTCGAGTGAGGTCATCTCTTCCAAGGCTCTTGGAACCTGTCGACCTTGGCCGGCTTACAGAGAGAGACCTCAAGTGTGCACACTGCTTTCCGGCATGGGGGAGGGGGGAGTGTTCCAAATCGATAAAAGGGTAGTATGAGTTCATTCATATTTTGTTGAAAGCTTCATTTCCAGTCCCTTGTACAGCGTTTAAAAAAGAAGTCTATTTATTAAGCTTTATGGAAAATATTGTTGTGTGTGTAATTTAATGTTTTTACCCATTAAATTAAGACTTGTGCATGACCACAGCGCGGGTGGCTTGTCATTTTTGAGGCCGCGATGGAGAGTCGCGTGTCCAGGATGTTTATGGGGATGGGCCCTGGGGGTCGCGGAAAGTGGATGCTTTGGAGGAGGGGAGAGAGTGGTAATTCCCAGGGCGCCAGGGGTGAGTGAGCTGGGTGGGGCAGCGGTTTACGCTGTCGGAACGGAAGGGAGGCAGGAAACCGCGAGTGGAGAAAGGGCCCCCAGATGTCAGCTGGGTGCCGGGAGCCCCGAGGGTGGGGGAGTGGGATGGGCGGTGGCTGCAGCCTTGACCGCAGAGGCGTGGCTCGTGGGCGGGGACTGCAGTCCCAGGGAAAGGGATCCCGGAAGGGCCCAGGGCAGGGTTCTTTGCGACCCAGGAAGCTCCGCCCCTATCTAAAGGCAACTGTGCGTAGCCCCGCCTGTGGGGAGGCGGTGCTTTCCTGACGCGTGCGCAGTGGGTGGGAGAGCAGCCATGCCGGAGCCTCGCGGGTCGTCGCCCCTGCGGGTGAACGCGGCGTTCGCGGCGCGGTACGGCCGCTACCGTGAGCGAGAGGAGCTGCAGCGGCGTGAGTGCGGGGCGCATGCGCGTGGGGCGCCGGCGCGTGTTGGGCGGTCCGCAGGTGGGGCTTGATCTGGTCCCCCAGGCTCACCTGGGTGAGGGGCTCGCATCTTTGTCCCACAGTGAAAGATCGCTACGGGGACCAGCACTGCGGCAGCGACTCCAGCTCCGAGTCTGATTCCAGCGACGAGCACGTGGTGAGCTTCTCCGCCTCCGTCCCGGAGTTGCGGGAGGTGTCCAAGGGCCTTGTCGCATCCTGGCCCGGACTTACAGGGGGCAGCTAACGTCCAACCCCATCGCGCCTTCATCCCTGACAGTCTAACCATTTCTCCCTGTCTGCCTCTGTCCCCAAAATGGGGCATCCCTCTGCCACGTGGAGCACCCAGCTTTTCCCCACACCAGCCCTGATCTTCCTAGACTCACTGAGCCATCCAGCTTTTCCACTCTGTTCTTCATATGCCTTCTCTGCTCACCTGCCCCTGTATCATCCATCCCTTATTGATACCGGGAAGAACCACCACCCCCTTGCCTGCTACCTTTTTTTGCTTCCTATTCTCTGCTCATGTGTGGTCCACCCCCACGGTGTCCCCTCTCCCACCCATTTGACCCCCCTCCCACTCATATCCAGCCCTCCAGCCCTCCCCCCACCTGCCTTTACCCAGCTGGATTCTCCCTTCTAACCTGTACGCCTCCCTGAACCCTAATTCCCACACCTTCTCAGCCTTCCTGCCCCTGTTGCTTACTGCCCCCATCACAGCCCCCTTCTGAAGTCTGTCCCCACCCCCTTTTTCTGCTCTAGGAATTTGACCCCCAGCAAGAGCGTGACTTCTACAGAACTCTCTCCTTGTTGAAGAAGAAGGACCCCTGCATTTATCAGAAAGATGCCACCTTCTATCAGCGAACAGGTCTGAGGCTGCTTCTCATGAAACCCTGGGTCCTCATTGCCTTAGAAGCTCTTGTGGCTATTTAATGGATCTTTCCGTGGCTGCTCAGACAGTAAAGAGTCTGCCTGCAATGCAGAAGACCTGGGTTCAGTCCTTGGGTCAGGAAAATCCCCTGGAGAAGGGAATGGCTACCCACTCCAGTATTCTTGCCTGGGAAATCCCATGGACAGAGGAGTCTGGCAAGCTACAGTCCATAGGGTGCAAGGAGTCAGACACAACTGAGCGACCAGCACTTTCATTTTTATTTCACCTACAAGTCAGACTTGATTAGCAGAGGGACTTTCTTGGTAGTCCAGAGGTTAAGACTCTGCACGTTCATCCCTGGCGGGGCAACTAAGATCCCACGTGCCACGCAGCACAGCCAAAAAAAAAACCAAAAAAACTGATTACTAATCAGCTAAGAGTGTCCAGGGTTATGACCTGTTGTCACTAATCATGGCTGTGTGTCTGGCACTGTTTTGAGTGTGAATTACTCACTGAGTGATCACCACCAGCTATTACCAGGTAGTAGCAAGTGTGATGCCTGTTTGATAGATGGGAACTGGTGGCTCGGGGATTTGAAACCTCCATCTGACTCTGGCCCAGCACAGTTATTCTCTGCCTGGGGGAGGAAGGGGGTTGTGGGTGTGGGTGATGACAGGGGTCTTGTGGTGGCCCTACAGCATCGTCCTCAGAGAGCGAAGAGGAGCCGGCAGCTGAGAGGAGAAAGAAGGTGCAGCCCATGTACCTGAAGGACTATGAGAGGAAGGTTATCCTGGAGAAAGGAGGGTGAGGAGACAGCCTGACTCCTCCGCTTCTACCTTCCCAGGGCAGGTGGACACGTGGGGGACTTAGGGGCGGGCGTGGGAAGAAGCCAATGGCTCACCAGAGTTGGGAGAACCTCAGAGAGCAGGTGGCTTGGTGACCTGCCTGCATCCCACTGCTCCCACCCCCCAGCTGTTGCTGTTTTTGAATTTTTGTCTCTTTTAATAATTTTTATTTATTTATTTATCTTTGGCTGTGCTGGGTCTTCATTGCTGCGAGGGATTTTCTTTAGTTACCGCAAGCAGGGGCTACTCTTTAGTTGTGGTGTGGGGGCTTATTGCGGTGGCTTCTCTTCTTGTGGAGCACAGGCTCTAGGGCATCTGGGCTTCAATAGTTTCGACATGTGGGCTCCGTAGTTGTGGCTCCCGGGCTGTAGAGCGTGTGCTCAGTAATTGTGGCATAAGGGCTCAGTTGCTCCAAGGCATGTGGGATCTTCCTGCATCAGGGATCGAACCTGTGTCTCCTCCTGCATTGGAAGGCGGATTCTTTACCACTGAGCCACCAGGGAGGCCCCAGCTGTTGCTCTTAAGAGCCTCCCACCCCACAGTGACAGACAGGCTGGGGGGAGTCTGTTCTGAAACCTTCATCCTTCCTTGCCCAGCATATATGTCGATGAGGAGAATTCAGATGGGGAAACCTCCGATCAGAGACTCCAGGTGTGTGGGATGGAGGCTGGGTGGGAGGGTTGGGGGGCTGAGGGGCCCATGGCTGGGTCTGAGGCCCCTGTCACTCTCTCTGCAGCAGACCTCGTCGAAGAGTTATGTGGAAGAACAGAAACAGCTGAAGGAAAGGTGAGCCCTGGAGCCGGTTGAGCAGCCAAGTAGAAGAGAGTTGAGGCTCTGAGGTTGGCAGGCCCAGGTTCAAATCCAGCTCTATCACTTAATGTGCCCACTTAATGGGCACTTGTGTGCCCTTGGGCCTGTCATTTGCTGTCTCTGGGCCTCAGTTTCTGTATCTGTGAAATGGGGTTGATCATGGGCTGTATGTCACAGCACCACTCTGGGCTGGTCAGGAGGAGCTCAGGGCTTATTATCTTTGGGGCAGCGGGCAGGGCCAGCGCACCCATCCTGAGGCTTGTTTTCTCGCTTGGGCAGCTTCCGGGCATTTGTGGAGGACAGTGAGGATGAAGACAGTGCCAAGGAAGGTGGCTCTGGGTTGCTGCAGAAACGTGCTAAAAGCAAAGAGGAGAAGGTGGGTGCTGGGTCCCAGGGGGATGCGGGGTGGTGGCGGAGAGGGGGCACCAGGGGGATCCCGCAGATCCTCATCGCTGGCCACCCCTCAGGCCCAGGAGGATGCTGACTACATTGAGTGGCTGAAGGGGCAGAAGGAGATTCAGAACCCCGACACCCTGAAAGAACTGGTGAGTTCCCATCTCTGGTTACTGACTCCCTAAACTTCCCGGTCTGCCTGCATCCAGCCTTTTCCTGGAAACTGACCCTTGAGTGGCCAGCCGGGAGCACATAATCTGTTCCTTTTCTTTTTTTTCCCTTGTACCATGTGGCCTTTGGGATCTTAAGTTCCCCAACCAGGGATTGAATCCGTGTCCCCTACAGTGGAAGCGTGGAGTCTTAACCACTGGACCCCCAGAGGAGTCCCCAGGAGCACATCCTCTGTGGATGGGGCCCCACATCTCTGGGCCTCAGCTTCTATATCTATAACACAGGGATTATCCCACTTACTTCATAGACTGGCTGTGAAGCTGCAGTCACTTACACCCACTGGGTGCCCACAATCCACGCCCCTACCCTACTGCTTCGCTGACCCTGAGTCCCTGACCTGAGTCTTATCACACACCGTTCACCCCTAGACTCACCTCAGGGAGTTCTGGAACAATCCAGAGCTGGACGAGGGGGAGCGCTTCCTGCGAGATTACATCCTCAACAAACGCTATGAGGAAGAAGGGGAGGAGGAAGAGGAGGAGGAGGAAGAGGAAGAGGAGGAAAGGTGAGTGCCCCTGTCCCCCAGGGGCCTAGACACAGCACTGGCCAGAAAGGAAAAGGCACTGGGTGTTTACTTTATCACACGGTTGGTAACGGAGTTAGGGACTTCCCTGGTGGCTCAGTGGTAAAGAATCCGCCTGCCAGTGCAGGGACATGGGTTTGATCCTTGGGTCAGGAAGATTCCCCTGGGGTGCTGGAGAAGACTTGAGAGTCTCTTGGACTGCAAGGAGATCAAACCAATCAATCCTAAAGGAAATTAACCCTGAACATTCATTGGAAGGACTGATGCTAAAGGTGAAACTCCAATACTTTGGCTACCTGATTGAAGAGCCGACTCATTGGAAAAGACCCTGATGCTGGGAAAGATTGAAGGCAGGAGGAGAAGGGGATGAGATGGTTGAATGACATCACTAACTCAATGGACATGAGTTTGAGCAAATTCCAGGAGATAGTGGAGGACAGAGGAGCCTGGCTTTGTGACCGTGAGGTCGCAAAGAATCAGACACAACTTAGTGACTGAACAGCAGCAGCCAAGTTAGCCTTTTTTTTTTTTTTTTTTTTTACTGCACCACATGGTATGGAGGATCTTAGTTCCCCGACCAGGGGTTGAACCTGGGCCCCCTGTACTGGAAGCGCAGGTCTTAACCACTGGACCACCAGGGAAGTCCCCAGAATTGGCTTTTCTTGAGGAAGAGACCCAGAGGGTGGGCTCTGGAGCCAGCGGGCCCTAATCCTGGATTTCCATGCCTTGGTTTCCCCATCGGTAAAATGGGGTAACAGTGGCTCCCTAGCACAGGGTTCTTGTGAGGATTAAACATGTGAACACGCTGGTACACAGGCTTGCAGGAGCTCTGCTGACCCCCTAGCCCCGCCCCATCTTATCCCTCAGGGTCCCTGGTCCCCCGGTCCAGCTAGCTGTGGATGACTCCTCAGACGAGGGAGAACTGTTTCTGAAGAAGCAGGAGGACTTTGAGCTCAAGTACAACTTCCGCTTTGAGGAGCCAGACTCTGCCTTGGTGGGTGGCCGGGCTGGGGGCCGGTGGCCGGGCTGGGGGCCGGTGGCCGGGCTGGGAGTCGGGGGCCGGGGGCCGAGGAGGACCTGGCCAGAGGGTCCCAGGCCGGGGAAGGAACCCAGAATCATCTCTGGTGCCCACAGGTCAAGACCTACCCTCGGAGCATCGCCTCCTCTGTGCGCCGAAAGGACGAACGCAGGAAGGAGAAGAGGGAGGAGACACGGGAGCGGAAGAAGAGGGTGAGTGGCTTTCAGGGCGGCCTTTGGGGGGATGTCCACCTGCAGGGGTTAGGAGGGTTGCTGACACCCGGCTTCTCCCCCTGACCCGCCGCCTGCAGGAGAAAGCGAGGAAGCGGGAGGAACTCAAGCAGCTGAAGAACCTGAAGAGGAAGGAGATTCTGGCCAAGCTGGAGAGGCTGCGGCAGGTCACGGGCAACGAGACGCTGGGCTTTGAAGAGCAGGACCTGGAGGATGACTTTGACCCTGCCCAGCACGACCAGCTCATGCAGGTGTGACCCCAGAGCCCCAGACTGACTGTGCAGCTGAGTGTGGCTCTGGAGTGAGCAATCCCTTTCTGGCTCAGAAAGGTGACCTGACCTCTCTAATCCTGTGTCTCTTGTCTGTATTGTGGGTCCAAACTGCAGCATTTACCTCAGGCCTGTGAGAAATACTAAATGCTAATTAACTTGGTAAATGCTCAGGGAAACGTGGGTCGCTGAATTTTCTTTAAATTCATTTATTGAGCCATTAGTGTTGATTGTTGTATTGGGAGGGGGGAACACAGGTTCAGACCATGGAAGCAGGCAATGAGACCTGGATGGGAGCTGCAGTGGGGACCCGGGGCACCACAGAGTGGACCCAGACTCAGCCTGGGGGTTCATGGAAGGGAAAGTAAAGATGAGTAGATGGGCCAGGTGAAACGTGGAGTGGGTAGGTGCTGTGTAGTTGAAGGTAAACCTTCACTTTCTAGGAGCTTCTTAATCCTGAGCTTCAGGTTCTGTGTTTGTTAGTAGTTTCTGTCTTTTGGGGTGCTTGTGAGAATGCAGTGAGACACAGCCCAGTGTTGAGCATGTAGTAGGTGTTTGTAAGTGGCACAGTTAGCAGTATTTGCCTTTACTAGCCAGTGGAACGGGGGCAGAGAGCGGGAGGTCGATGGGGCAAGATGAGCTAAGAAGTGGGTGTGGAGGGACATAGACACACAGGTTCTATGTGTGGTTCTCCCCACATCAGGAGCTGGGTCCTGGGGGGCGGTGCTGGGGAGCCTCAGAAGGTGCAGGAGCACCAGTGTCTGGCGGGGAATGGGCCCTGCTGACCCTCCCGGCCCCGACCCTGTAGAAGTGCTTCGGGGACGAATACTATGGCGCCATGGAGGAGGAGAAGCCGCAGTTTGAGGAAGAAGAAGGGCTGGAAGGTGAGGTCACTTGGGGTACCGGGCTGGGGGTGGGGTGCTTGGCCTACTGATCCCCTCTTCACCCCTGCCTGTCTGGCCTGAACCAGACGACTGGAACTGGGACACGTGGGCTGGGCCGGAGCAAGGTGGAGCTTGGAGCCAACAGGAGCCGCACTGCGAGGACCCCGACTTCAATGTAGGTGCCCTGGGCATGGGAACCGGGGGGGCACCTCAGAGGGTCCCCCGGCAGGCCTGACCTGTGTGTCCCGGCAGATGGACGCCGACTATGACCCCAGCCAGCCCCGGAAGAAGCATCGAGAGGCCCCTTCGTTGGGCAAGAAGAAGCGAAAGTCGCCCTTTGCTGCGGCCGTGGGACAGGAGAAACCTGTGTTTGACCCCGGTGAGGCCCAGGCGGGTGCCCGTGGTTGGGCAGGGGCTCCCTAGGGCCCCGCACACCCCGACAGCCTGGCTCTGTCCCCACTCAGGGGACAAGACATTCGAGGAGTACCTGGACGAGTATTACCGGCTGGACTACGAGGACATCATTGATGACCTGCCCTGTCGCTTCAAGTACCGCACAGTGGTGCCCTGCGACTTTGGACTTAGCACTGAGGAGGTGGGACCCCAGGGTACCCCAGAAGCAAGCGGGGCTGCCCAGAACTGGCCCTGTTGTGACACAGCCTATTTGTTTCTTTATCTCCAAAACAATAGAACCAACAGTGCTAATAACATTACTAGTAATATTGCCTGCCACACAAGTTTTCTGTGAGGCAGGGGCTTAAATGGTGCTCTGCCCACAGGAAGCCCCAGTAAATATCAGTTTTAATTCTGTATATTGGCAGCAGCATGGCCATTAAGACTTGGCAGCTGTTGAAATCTTGACCGGGCCACTCACCAGCTGTATAACCTTGGACGCGTGACTTAAGGCTCTGTAACTTGGTTTCCCCATCTGTAAAATTGGCCTTATAACAGCCCCACCTTATGACTGTGGATGTGAAACAAATGTGCTTTGAATGTCATTGTGCCCTAGCCATGATGGCTATGGATGCTTGACTGTAAAAATAGCCAATGATGATTGAGCTTAGACCATTTGTATTCGCTTCATCATCCTGACAGCCTTCCAGTAGGTTCTGAGGGGGGGTGCCCAATTCATAAGTGAGGAGACTAAGGTCGTAAGGTTGGGAACCTGGGTCTCATCAGTATTAGCAAAGCTGGTCATTGGCATGGAGACCCCTCCCCTGGTTTGAGTCTGCTGGGACCACAGTGTACCAGTCAGGGCCCAGATTGTAATCTGACATTAGCCATTTCCTGGCCATGTGACTGGGTTAAGGATCCCCTTCTCTGGGCCTCAGTTTTCCCATCTGATGCCCTCAACAAAAAATCCTCCATTGGCCTCTGCAGAAATCAGTTCTTTCTCACCATCATGACACTGCTGCTTGGTGGAACTAGCATTACCTTGCTTTGACCCATGAGGTGACTAAGGCTGAGAGTCAGGGCCCCCCGGGGCTCACTAGCAGGACCCCACCCTCCCTTTCCTTGCAGATCCTCGCTGCTGACGACAAGGAGCTGAATCGGTGGTGCTCCCTGAAGAAGACCTGCATGTACAGGTGATGGAGTGGGGCTGGGCCAGGTGCCCCGGGAGGAGGGGCAAGCAGGCTGGCAGGCAAGCACGAGCCCCACCCAGGCCACCCAGCGACAGACGTGTCCACTTGGGGCCCACAGGTCGGAGCAGGAGGAACTGCAGGACAAGAGGGCATACAGCCAGAAGGCCCAGAACGTATGGAAAAAGCAGCAGATCTTCAAGTCACTCTGCCCAGAGGAGTGAGTATGGCTGGTGGAGGGGTGGGCTTCAGAGCCCTGCCAGGCCCAGGGTTTGAGTCATGCTTTGTCAGCTGTTTGTCACATGACCTTGGGGGTAGGGTTTCCCTTCCGATACCTGGGCATCAGGTCTTGGCTGGGCCATAGCTGTATGACGTTGGGCAAGTCATTTTCCCTCTCTGGGCCTGTTTCCTCATTTGCAAAATGGAGGTACAGATGGCTCACTTCTTGCTGGGTTTTTCTTTTTTTTTGAAGATTAAGTAAATCAATTCAGGTAAAGTGCTTAAAACAATAAATGCTGGATAGCTATTTGCTCTTGTTACTGTTACTGTGCCTGTTATTTCCTGATCTGTAAATCAGGAGTGCTCGCAGAGTTGATATAAAGCTAAAATGAGTTAGTTTGTGTGAAGAGCTTAGTGTAGGTACAGGCTCAGTGATCAAAAGCATCAATCACTCACTCTGGCTTCAGAGTAGAAAAATCCCAGTGTGGTATCAGACCCATGTTTGAGTGCAGGCAGGCTCCCAAATTGTTCTGGCCACTTCGCTGAGCTGCCCTTTTTCTCATCTATAAAAACGGGGCAGGCTCGGGGAGGAACCTAGTCGTGACTGGCCTGGGCTGATCCATGACTTTTCTTCCTCCAGGGCAGAGATGCCCACGGAAGCCACAGGGAAGCCACAGAGAGACAGAGCTGGCCCATCGGGACAGCTGGTGGCACTTGATGGGGCCTGTGGCAAGCAGTCCCAGCCCGAGAGCACCCCAGCACAGGAAGAGGCAGACCCTGTGACACCCACGGAGAAGCTGGCCCCCCAGAGGCGGAAGAGGGGCAAGAAGGCACGTCTCCTGGGCCCCACAGTGACACTCGGGGGACGTGAGTTCAGCCGCCAGAGACTGCAGGCCTTTGGCCTCAACCCCAAACGGCTGCACTTCCGGCAGCTGGGCCGACGACAGAGGAAGCAGCAGGGGCCCAAGGGCAGCCACTGAGCTCGAGGGAGCCTACAGGGGCCCCTTCCCCTTCTTATTGACTGTATGGTCCCCCACATCTACCTGTAGGCCAGGGAGTCTTCCCATCTTAGAGATGTGGAAGCTGAGGCCTACTCAACAAGCTTCCCCAGATGACTCGGGGAACCTCGCCTCAAGACACACTCAAATGTTGGGCCCAACAATAGCCAGAGTCAAGTCAAACGGCTTTATTAGCCCCCAGCAGCCACGGCCCCTCCTCGCCCCCAGCAGCTCTTGGCAGGGTAGGGGCTTTGTGACCGGTGAGGGGCATGGACGGTCCAGTGCAAACTACAGTACGGAGTCAGGCCCTGAGTGGGTGCCCGGGGCCTCCCTCCCTGCCCCATGAGGAGGGCCCAGCTGGTGGGAGGCAGGTGTGCGGGCTCTGTTCCTGGCTGAACGGCCCCAGCCCGGAGGCTTCCTAGACTGGTCTCTCTCAGCTGCACTTGTCAGGGGGGAGTTGAAGCTCCCACACCTAACATGACATAAATTAAAAAATAAATAGGGTCTTGTCTTCTCCCTTTTCCCCTCGCTTTATAAAAACACAAAGTCCTCAGAGCTTGGGCGCTTAGCCTTGAGGAGCCGGCCACTGCGAGGGAGCCGCAGTGTCTGCTGGGAGGGTGGGGAGCAGAGGTCATCCAGGCTGTGGTCCTGAGCGTGGCCATCGACCAGGGTGAACATGGGGTATCGCTCTGTGGCTGAGGAGGAGCTGAGGACCTGTGGGGATGAGAGAGCAGCTCAGTCCCAAAGCCATGATAACTACCCAAGTAGATAAAATTATTTTAGCAGCCATATTTATCAGGTACTTCCTGAACTCAACTCCCCTCCCTCCAGGGCAGTGAGCAGACCAGCCAATCAGCACCTTCTGTGCTCTGGCTACAGTGATTGGCTCAGTAATGAGCATATGACCTTGTGCAACCAATGAACCACAGCCCTGGGATTTTCCTTCTCTGCTAAGAACATGGGGCTCTTTCAAGAATCCCAGGTTCCCTGGGTTGGGAAGATCCCCTCGAGAAGGAAATTGCAATCCTCTCCAGTATTCTTGCCTGGGAAATCCCATACAGAGGAGCCTGGCAGGCTACAGTCCATGGGATTGCAAAGAGTCCGACATGACTGACGACGTGTGCACACCCAGAGAAGCTGGTGTTCATTTCTTACCACCGTAAGGGTAAATCCCTGAGAACAACAGAACCAAAGGACAAGGCAGGTCCTACGACTTCAGCCTCTGGGGACCAGCTGTCCCCTTAAATTTTTCATTTCATGATGCTTTTTGCTCTCATCAGAGCTGGGCTTTCTAATCAGACCTAACCCAAGCTGAAAAACCCTGTAGGGCTCCTGCAGGATAATAATCCTTACAACATGGCCAGGTCTGCTGGCCTCATGGCCTCTGTTTCTCTTCGGCCGTAGCCCTGCCCTTGCCCCCCACCCGCTAGCACACCCGGCTCACCCTGGTCAGCTCTGAGCAGAGTGTTTCAAACTCCTTTCTGTCTCCAGCATAGAAGCCCACAGTACAGCTCGGGTCCATCTTGGCAAAGGCCATCTTGCGGGGTGAGGTGCAGTGGAAGGACTGGGGTGGATAGATGAGGGAGGCTCAGGGGGTTCCCTCCACACACCTCCAACCCCACCCTGGGGATCCCATCTCACTCACCTCCAGGGGGAAGTCGGCCTGGCTGACATCCACGGTGGGCTGGCAGTAGTGTGGGTCCAGGTAGAGCAGGAAGTCATCTGCAGGGAGGACGTGTGAGGGAGGGGGTGGCGGTGGAAAGGGGGTGTGGGGGGATGTGACGGAGCAGTGTGGTGTGGCCTACCCTGGTAGCCGATGAAGTACAGCGAGTGGCGGGGCTTGCCCCCCATAATGCCCAGGCACAGCTCTGAACGGAGGAGCTCCTGCCGGAAGGAAAGGGGATGGAGTGAGGACCCAGGGCAGGTGCCGTCAGGCACCCTGATGCCTCATAAAGCCCCAGGGCTTCTTCCCTGGTGGCTCAGTGGTAAAGAGCCCGCCTGCCAATGCAGGAGACAGGCTGATCCCTGCTTGGGGAAGACACCCCTTCTCCCCCATGCCACGGAGCAACTAAGCCCATACGCCACAACTACTGAGCCTGTGCTCTAGAGCCTGGGAGCTGCAACTGCTGAAGCCCATGCCCTAGAGCCTGTGCTCCCCAGCGAGAAGCCATTGCAATAACAAACCTGCACACCCCAACACAGAGTAGCCCTGGCTGGCCGCAACTAGAGAAAAGCCTGTTCAGTGACAAAGACCCAGCACAGACAAAAATAGGTAAATAAAATCATTCAAAAAAAAAAACCAACAGAGGCCCAATGTGTGCAAACCCAAGCCTGTGCTGGGCCCTGGGGGGTGGCAGTGACCAAGACAGACAAAACGCTGTCCCCATGGAGCTTATGTTCTAGTGTGGGAGAACGAAGAACAAGAGGAGTAAGTTCTGTCATGTGTCAGAAGGTGGTAGCTCTCTGGAGAAGAATAAAAGGAGGGAAGAAGGCTTTGCAGTGTTAAGCAGGGGGAGTCAGGAAAGACCTCACTGAGAGATGATGTTTCAGCAAACAGTTAAGGGAATCCAGAATTCGTCTTGGGAAAGAGCACTCCAAGTGGTGGGAATGGCAGGTGCAAAGGCCCTGAGGCAGGTGTCTTCTGAGAACAGAAAAGAGGCCTGTGTGGCTGAAGCAGAGTGAAGTGAGGTGGAGAGTGAGTGTGGGCAGATGGTAGAGGGCCTTGTGGGCTGTGGGGAGATCGCTGGCCTTTGCTCTGAGTGTAAACACACCGGGGTCTTTCCAGCCTTGCTGTTCCTTTTGCCTGGATGACTACTCCCCTGGCTTCTCATTTGCTTCTGGCTAGAGAGGGGCTTTCCGAGGCTGGCCAGCCACCCCCACCTGCCCTTCATCATGTTAGTTTTGGTTCCTTTACAGTACGAGTTGCAATGCCACAGCTGTCTACTTGCTTCCACACCTACTGCCTGCTACTCCCCCACTAGAATGTCAGCTCCCAGACGGCATCAACTGTTGCCTGTTTACCTCTGAGTCCCCAGCAGCTGAGAGGGTTTTTGGCACATAATAGGTGCTTCATAACTGCTGGATGATCCAATGAAGAGACAAAGGAAGCATAAACCCCTAACCCAAGCTGAAAATGTCTGCAGGGCTCCAGTGAGCGGGGCGGTGGGGGAGGCACGGGGGAGCCTGGCAGAACCTACCTTCACGCAGGGCACGTACACGGGGTTGAGAGTTTCTCCACCAAGCCGCACTGGTACCAGGATGACCACGGACTTCCATTCAGCCGTAGGGTCTGGCCGGGCCACCAGGCGTGCCACGTCCGCCTTGTATACTGCAAGGACAGGGCAGCAGGTCATGTTCTCGCCCGCCCTTCAAGTCTCACTGTATGAACCTCCATCCTTAGGGGCCCAACCTCGCCTGAGCAACCTCCCTGGATGACACGCCTGTTCCCGGCAGAAAAGCTTTCCAGCATTCGCCACCCCCCGCCCCAAACTCCCTCAGACAGTCCCAGGCACGCCAGGCAGGTATGGACACTCCCATTTCACAGAGAAGGCGACTGAGGGCCTGAGGTTATGACAAAGAGTGTAAAGCCAGGAGGGAGGTGAAGAGCCTTCCCCACAGCCCAGAGTGCCTGCCCAATCCCGGGCCTGACTAGTCTTCCCCTACTCGGCACCTGGGTTTGCTGAGATGGAAGTGGGAGCACCAGTCAGTCAGCTGAAAGGCCCTGTGTGTTCCTCAAGTTCCATCCGCTGGTCTCTGCTTTCCTGTCATCTCCTCGTGGCTATGTAACCCCCTCATGACTCCCAGAAAAGGACATTCAATCTTTCCTGGAGACAAGAGCTGCAATGGTCTGAACGCCTCAGTCGTGTCCAACTCTGTGCGAACCCATGGACTGCAGCCTGCCAGGCTCCTCTGTTCACGGGATTCTCCAGGCAAGAATACTGGAGTGGGTTGCCATGTCCTCCTCCAGGGGATCTTCCTGACGCAGGGATGAAACCCGTGTCTCTTAAACATCTGCATTGGCAGGCAGGTTCTTTACCATTAGCACCACCTGGGAAGCCCCCCCCTCACCCATTTCAGATGTTGAAATTCTAACCCCCTCCCCCAAGTGATGGAATGAGGAAGTGGGAGGTGATGAGGTCATGAGTGACATCACTGCCCCGGTAAAAGTGACCCCAGAGAGCATGCTTGCCCATTTTGCTGCCTGAAGATACAGTGAAACAAACCAGGAAGTAGGCCCCCAACAGACACCAAAACAGCCAGTGCCTTGATCCTGGACTTCCCAGCCTCCAGAATTACGAAAAATAAACACCTTGTTTACAAGCCACCCAGCCTGTGGGTGCTTGTTTTGTTTTGTTGGCTATGCTGTGTAGCTTGTGGGATCGGAGTTCCCTAACCAGGGATCAAAATCAGGTCCCAGCAGTGAAAGCACCGAGTCCTAACCACTGACCACCAGGGAATTCCCTGGCCTACAGTACTTTCATTATAACAGCCCTAACAGACTAAGAGGCTCTCTGCAAAAAATTACACCTTGCCCCAAACGCCTATATTTTTTCATAAAATGTATAGGGTCTGTAGATTCCTTGATACCAATCCATGAAGCTAAACTGATTAGGAGGGCATAATAACAATGAGGGGGCGCTTCCCTGATAGCTCAGTTGGTAAAGAATCCACCTGCAATGCAGGAGACCCCAGTTCAATTCCTGGGTTGGGAAGATCCGCTGGAGAGGGGACAGGCTACCCAGTCCACTATTCTTGGGCTTCCCTTGTGGCTCAGCTGGTAAAGAATCCACCTGCAATGCAGGAGACCTGGATTCGATCCCTGGGTTGGGAAGATCCCTTGGAGAAGGGAAAGGCTACCCACTCCAGTATTCTGGTCTGGCGAATTCCATGGACTGTATAGTCTATAGGGTCACATCACAAAGAGTCAGACACAACTGAGAGACTTTCACTAACTCAATAACAAAGAGAGGTAACATTCAGTGAATACTTCCCATATGAGAAGTTCTGTTCTAAAAGTTACTATTTTTAATTTAAAAATCTTATTTATTTTTGGTTGTGCTGGGTCTTTGCTGCTGCTCTGGCTTTTCTCTACCTGCAGAGAGCAGGGGCTACTCTCTAGTTGTGGTGCACCGGTTTCTCACGGCCAGCGGCTTCTCTTGTGGAGCACAGGCTCCAGAGTGAGGACTTCAGTAGCTGTGACCCTTAGGCTCAATAGCTATGGCTCTTGAGCACAGGCTCAGTAGTTGTGGCGCATGGGCGTAGGTGCTCTGTGGCACGTGGGATCTTCCTGGATCAGGGATCAAACCCATCTCTCCTGCATTGGCAGGTGGGTTCTTTAGCACACTGAGCCAGCAGGGAAGCCCCTAAGAGTTATGCTCATCACTGACTCACTAATCCTCCTGAAAACCCGGTGAGGCAGAGGAGACCCGACTTTTGTATGCATTAGCAGTGTTTACAAAGCAAAAGTGAGTTGGGAACTTCCCTGGCAGTTCTGTGGTTAAGAATCTGCCTGCCAATGCAGGGGACACAGGTTTGATCCCTGGCCTGGGCAGATTCCACATACCGAGGGGTAACTAAGCTCTTATGCCACAACTATGGAATCTTGAGTGCCTGGAGCCTGTGCTCTGCAACAAGAGAAGCAACAGCAATGGGAAGCTCATGCACAACTAGAGAGTCAAAGAGAGTAGCCCCTGCTCACCGCAAGGAGAGAAAAGCCCACGGCAGCAACAATGACCCAGTGCAGCCAAAAATAAACAATCATTCTTTTTTAAAAAAGAGTGAGTTGGACCCGAGAGAGGAATTCCTTCTGTCCTTTATTCTATTACTCAGAGAAGCCCCTGAAGTCTCCTCTCCTGATTCCAGAGAGAATGAAGGGATCCTGAGCAGCGCCCCTGCCACCCAATGTGGGCCTCCAGTCCTTTCCAAGGGTCCCTCTGCTGCATAACTTGTCTCAGCCTCTGCGGAAAGTGGGTGCTAAGAGGTGGCTGAGGCAGTGACTGGCGCAGGGTGAGAACCCCATGACCTCAGCCCTCAGCCCCTTACCTGTGCAGTCCTGGGAGACGTACACCACCAGGCGGGTGACCTCTGAGCAGCTCTCCACAGCTTTCCTGGGGATGGAGGAGAGGCCTGAGTTCCCCGGAGGGGACCCAGAGGCTCCCGCGTCCCCTGCCACGGCCCTCACCTGAGTATGTGTGCCACCAGAGATGGCCCATACCAGTCGCCTGCCTTCTTGCCTGAGCCCTGCCCCAGCTCCACCAGCCGGTGTAGGCCGAAGGGGGCCCGGGGATGGTCAGCGAACCAGGACACAATCTGCCGGTGCCGGCGCTCCTGCTCCAGCTCAGGGGCCTGGGCCCAGCGCGGAGGGATCCACCGGGCAGGCCCTCGGTACCGGTTGGGAGAGGCCAACCCCGAAGGCTCAGGGGGGCCCAGGCCTGCGCCCTGGGACCACGTCCAGTCTGGTAGGGATGCAGCAAATAGTCAAATGGCAATGGTATGGGGGGGGGTGGGGCAGTTCCCATGATTCACACACAACACTAATGCTCCATTAGAAACCTCATGTTTAACTACCCTTTTCACATTCCTTAAACTTGCTATTAATTTTTACATTTGGATGCACTGACGCCATGCAGGAGCTTAGTTCCCTGACCAGGGATTGAACCTAGCCCCCTGCAATGGAAGCACAGAGTCTCAACCACTGGGCCACCAGGAATGAGTGAAAGTCGCTCAGTCATCTCCAGCTCTTTGCGACCCCATAGACTGGGGCCTGCCAGGCTCCTCTTGCCAGAATTCTCCAGGCAAGACTACTGGAGTGGATAGCCATTCCCTTCTCCAGGGGATCTTCCCAACCCGGGATAGAACTCACATCTCCCACACTGCAGGTGGATTCTTTACCGTCTGAGCCACCAGAGAAGACCCCCCCTTAAACTTATTTTATAAACAACTCTCACTCCACCCCCAAACTTAACTTTACACAAAATTCTAACAGGACTTGAAATTCTTGGTTTACAAACCATTCTAACACTTTTGACCTGGGGTTGGCGCTATACTCCTGTTCCCTTCCCCCTCCACCACCGCTCACCTCTGGGCAGGAAATGAAGCAGAAGGCCCTGAGCCAGCATCATCTGCCCACTTCGTAACATGCACCCCCAGCCACAGTCTGAGGTCAGGCTGCCTCCCGCGAGGGGTGGGAAGTCCCGGCGGTATGTGAGCCATAGGCGGGATACAAAGTCCCGCTGGAAACGCTGGATGTCACCTGCAAGAGCAGGTTTGTTAGTTACCACCAGAAACACCCCTTTGGGGCCTCCTCCAACCCTAGTCAGGTGCCACCAGCTCACCCTCGCCCTCGAAGCGGTAGCGGCGGCCACAGAGATGGACGTTGGAGATCTTGCTAAAGCTGGTCCGGCTTTTGACTGCCCAACCTGGGGAGACATAGGGCAGCCCCAAGCAAGATGAAGCCCTTGCTTAGCAGACAGGTACCCTAACAGGATAGCAACAGCGCTTGCATGCCCCCATGTGTGAGACGGGGGACTCTCCTAGTTCTTATCTCAGGGTAGGCTCTTGGGGAATCTGTGCTACATTCCTCTCAGATGGAGGCGGGGCCCCTATAACAGCCACATGTGTTGCTTGTGCATGCTCAGTCATGTAAAACTCTATACCACCCCATGGACTGTAAGCCGCCAGGGTCCTCTGTCTGTGGAATTTTCCAGGCAAGAACACTGAAGTGGATTGTCCAGTTCCTCCTCCAGGGGATCTTCCCCACCGAGGGAGCAAACCAATGTCCCTTGAGTCTCCTGCACTGGCAGGCAGATTCTTTACCAACTGTGGCCTCTGGAAAGCCACATGCATGTCTGCCATTCATTTCAGGATGAATCAAAGTGGGTCTGATTATTGTACCCATTTTACAGAGGAGGAAAATGGAGGCACAGGGCAACAAAAAAAACCTTGTCCTAGGTCACACTGAGGAGTCTACTGAAACTTGAAAACACATTCCCCTTTGGACCTGCCAGCCAGCGGCCCGCCCTGGGCTGGGCAGGGCGGGAGACGACCCACAGGTGACTCACAGGAGGGGAACAAAGGGTGGAATACCTGGCAAGGGCAGGGTCCTGGCTCTCCTTGACTCCCACCGAGATCCTAGCCCTGCAGTCCTGAACTTCAGCTCGCTCCCACGTCAGAATCGAAGCTCCGGGCCCCGCCCCCTCCTCACCGTACTTGACGTTGTTCCAAGCGGTCAGGAACTTCGCCTTAAACTTGTCCACTTCGTCCGGCTCTCCGGGGCCGGTCCCGGCCGATGCAAGAGCGGGGCCGCTAGCTCCGGAGGGCCCCAGGCCGTTGGGGTCTGGGGTTCGGGGTCCCCGCGGCCTGCGGCCCTCCGGGCGGCGCGCGTCCTCCGGACTCCCGCTCCGGTACTGAACGGCGGCCGGCGACACGGAGTTCATGGGCGCGCCGGGCGGGCGGACCGAGGGCCCCGGGGGCCGCGCGCGAGCGCCCCAGGGGCCAGGACGCGGCCGGGACGCGAACGCCCAGGAAACTGCTAGTGCGGCCCCGGTGCGGCGACCAGGCCCCCGGGCCCGGAGCGGGACGCTGTCACCGCCGCCGCCGCCATTTTAGCGGCCCTGGCTCCGGGAGGGGGCGGGCGTGACACGGCCGGACGCCCCGCCCCGGCCCGGCCCCCAGCCTGGGGCCCCGGCCCCGGTCCCGGGTGGCGGCTCTGGGGACTCCTGACGCGGAGCCTCCCGGCAGCGCCACGCGACCCCCACCGCCGCCCGCCTTATCGCAGCGCCCAGGCACGACCGAGCCCCTGCAGGTACTTATCGGAGGCCCCAGAGCCGGGTCGCCCCGCCCCGGCCTCGCCCCGCCCCCGGTTTCGACCCCGCCCCTTCCCGGCCCCGGCCCCGCCCCCTCCTGTCGCTGAGGGACTGACCACCCCCCTCCCCCGAGCCGGGGTCCTTTATGCCGTCTGCACCTGCCTGCGTCCCCCGAGGGATCAGAGCCCTCCTCCGAGAGCTGCGCACCCAGGACCCGCCTCCACCAGGGGCCCAACCTGTGCGTGACACCCATTCACCAAAATCCCCCTTCAAGCCACATCTCTACGTGCTTCAGTTTCCCCAGGAGCAAAAAGGGGCTCGAAAATACAACACAAATGCATCTTCCTAATTTTACTGAGGGAAAGACGCCAGACCAAAAATTTTAAAAGTATGTACTCTATGTTTCTATTTAAACTCTAGAAAATGCAACCTCATCTATAGTGGTTGCCTGGGGGTTGGGTGGGGAGACGTGGGAGAGAGGGATTAAGAAAAAGAATTAGGATTTGTTTAGTATTAATATCTTGGTTATGGTGATTGCTTCCAGCTCAACGGATTGTACACGTGGTGTGTGGTTTGTTGTGTGTCACTTATACTCAATAAAACTGCAATAAATGTTTTCAATGCATCTAACTCAGAGGAACGTTTGGAAGACAGCTGAATTCATCTCTCTAAAGCGCTTAGCATGGCATTTGAGGCACAGTCAGGGCTCAGCGAAAGCCAGTCGTGATCTCACAGGCAGAATGAGTATAGTGACCCTGGAAACCACAGAGAGAGTGGCCCCTAGTGGCCAGCTCAAGGGCTGTGTCCCCAGCCGGCTGAAGGAAGTTGGATGAAGGATATGGACAAGGGTGTGTGATGTGAAGACCTGCCTCCTTTCTCAAATTCAATAGGTCCCATCCCACCTCAGGACCTTTGCACCTGCTGTTGCCTCTGCCTAGAGGTCTCTTACCTGAGATATCTGCATGGCTCTCCCTCAGCCTCCTTCAAGATTTTATTCATATGTCATACCTGTAGTGTGACCATCTTCAAAATTCCACCCCATCCCTACACTTGGGACCGTTTCCCTTCCCTGCTACATATTTTTTTTTTTCCCCCAGAGCAGTTATCATAACCTGATTGAGTAAGCTGGGGCTGCTATAATAAATAGGGCAGACTGGGCAGATTATGTAACAGACTTTTCTTTTTAAACAATTTTAGATATTTCTTTATTTATTAATGGTTGCACTGGGTCTTCATTGCTGCTTCTCAACTCAGTAGCTTCTCTTGTTGCAGAGCACAGACTCTAGGCCCGAGGGCTTAATGGGCTTCAGTAGTTGCAGCATGCAGGCTCTCAGTAGTTGTGGCTCACAGGCTTAGTTGCTCCATGGCATGTGGACTCTCCCTGGACCAGGGATAAAACTACCACTAGACCACCAGGGAACTCCCAGACATTTATTTCACATACTCCTGCATGGTGGAAGTCCAAGATCAGGGTGCCAGCACTGCAGGGGTCTTGGTGAAGGCCCTGTTCCTGGTTACGTCCTCACATGGCCTTTCCGTGGTGCATTGCACACAGAAAGAAATACCTTGTTTCTCTTCCTCTTCATAAGGTCATTAATCTAATTATGGGGGGGCTGTACCCTCATATCCTCATCTAACCCCAATCAATTCCCAAAGGCCCCACTTCCTAATAACTTCACATAAGGGGGTTGGATTTCAAAATATGAATTTGGTGGGGGGGACACAAACTTTCAGACCATAGCACTGATCTTTATTTATATATAATATTTATATATAATTCTTATTATGTTATATCCACTGTCCCCACCACACCATGAGGGCAGACATCTCTGTCCATCTTGGTCACTGCTGACTCCTCAACACTCAACATGGGCCTGGCATACATAGGTGCTCAAGCAACTTGTGGAATGAAAGGAGAGTTTATAGCCTCTCAGAGGCAGACTGACTGGGGTGGCCACGGGTGATCCTCTTCTGTTTGATTTCCTGCCTGGACCCCTCCCACCACGGCCACCACTGTTGATGGAAACTGCCCACCTTGGCCAGGCAGGATGATAACCACTCGCATGCATTGTCTCACAACAGGAGATTCCAATAAAGAATACAGTGCTGCCGCCAAAACTAACCAGGAGAATTCCAGAGGGGCCAAAAGGAGGGAGGAAATGCCAGCCCATCATATGTCCTACCAACCTCCCAGGCTCCTTTGCACTGAAGTCCCTCTTGGCTGAGAGATTCGAACCACCAGGAAGGACCCTGAGTCAGACCAAACACGGGCCAAGCAAGATGACTGGCCAGAGACAACTCAGAAACTAACCCCATCGCCATAAAAACGTGAGACTTCAAGCCATGTGGTAGAGCAGTTCTCCTGGGTTTCTTATCCTGCTGCTCTCTGCCTGGGCGCGCCTTGCCAATAAAGTCTTCTGCTTTGTCAGCACGTGTGTGTCCTCGGACAATTCATTTCCAAGTGTTAGACAAGAGCCCATTCTTGGGCCCCGGAAGGGGTCCCCCTTCCTGTAACAGTTCCTTCCTGGAGGAGGGCAGTGATTTACTGTGACCCTCAATTACTTCCCGTTACCCCCATTTCATGCAAGCATAGCCACAACCTCAGCTCTCCACCTGGGTGTCTGTCCGCACCCAGAATCCAGTTGCCACTTGTATCCCCTCTTGGAGGTCCTCCAGGCTCCCCAGGTTTGGTGCACCCTTAATTGATCCTGTCTTTCACCACCACTGACTTTTCCTCCCATCCCTTGGCTCCCTCATACCCAGGCTTCATTGTCCCCCTTCCCAGGGTCTGTCAGTCCACCTACTAATCTGTCCCTAATTGTCCTCTCATGTCCCCAAAGGGGCAGAGGCTGCAACCAGGTGTCTTAAACAGATGACCTTGCTTCTCCATACCTCAGTTTCTTCATCTGCCAAATGGGATAGTAATTGTTCCTACTTCCTAGGGCTTCGGAGAAGAATGAAATGAACACGCAAAATGCTTAAAACACAGCAACTACCACGTTACTGTGAATTGTTATTGCTACTGTCACTCTTACTCCCACCATTGCCCTCTGAGGTCTGGCCCCCTCCATCACTGTTGCATCCTTCTTGGCCTCCTGCATGGCATCGTTGACCCTTCAGATCCACACAACAGTTGGAAAAAACTATTTTTAAATATTTATTTATTTATTTGGCTGCACTGGGTCGCAGTTGTGGCATGCAGAATCTTTGATCTTTGTTGTGTCATGTGGGAGTTTTAGTTGTGGCAAGCAGGTTTGTTTTGTTTATTATTATTGATAGTTGTGGCATGTGAGGTCTTTAGTTGCGGCATGTGGAATCTAGTTTCCTGATCAGGTATCAGAACCTGGGTCTCCTGCATAGGGAGCTCAGAGTCTTAGCTATTGGACTACCAGGGAAGTTCTAGGAACATACCTATATATAAAATTATTTTCCTGAACAATTTCCACCACACACAGAAAAATCCAGAGCAGCATTGTTCAACAGAAACATAATATGAAGTACATTTTTCAATATTCTAGTAGCCATGTAAAAAAAAATACAGATAATTGGACTAAAAAGTGGGCATGTGGGACTTCCCTGGTGGTCTAGTGGTTAAGAATCTGCCTGGCCATTCAGGGGACACAGGTTTGATCCTGGTTGAGGAATTAAGTAGAGAAAGAAATGACAACCTACTCCAGTATTCTTGCCTGGAGAATCCCATGGACAGAGGAGCCCGGCAGGCTATAGTCCATAGGGTTGCAGAGTCTGGCAGGACTGAAGTGACATAGCAAGCATGCATGCATGAGGAACTAAGATCCCACATGCTGGGGCAACTAAGCCCAAGTGCTACAGCGAAAGATACTGTGTGAAGGAATGAAGATCCTGCACGCTGCATCTAAGACCCACTGCTGCTGACAAGTGCTCAGTCATGTCCAGTTCTTGCGACCCCATGGACTATAGCCCACCAGGCTCCTATGTTCACAGGATTTCCCCAGCAAGAATACTGGAGTGAGTTGCCATTTCCTTCTCCAGGAAGACTCACTATCGCTAAATTAAAAAAAAAATTAAGTGGGTTTTAAGCAGACAGGGTAGAGATCCCTGGAGGAAAAGAACCAGATACACCTTTTTGACATAAGGAAAGTAAAATTGAAAGTCATTCAGTCATGTCCTACTCTTTGCAACCCCAGGGACTGTAGCTCACCAGGCTCCTCTGTCCATGGGCTTTCCCAAGGTAGGTCATGGGAATGGATAGCCATTCCCTTCTCCAGGGGACCTTCCCAACCAGGAATCAAACTCAGGTCTCCCGCATTACAGGTGGATTCTTTACAGTCTAACCCACCAGGGAAGCCCTTTGACATAAGAGAAGCCATTTTTTTTCCCCTAAGGCATTTTGTGATCTAAGCCTGGCTACAAGCTTGCCCTTGATCAAGTCTCGGTAATTAATGATCATAAGGGAAGGAAAGACAGAGAAACAAATAACTATTATCAGGCAGGAGAAGTAACAACAGGGCAGGTAATAAATTAGTTATAAAGACTTCCAGTTCTGTTTCAGTGGTAAAGATTAGCCTGAAGCACTTTCTTGAGCAAAATTCAAACCTCCCTCAAGCACTCAACCACCAGATTAACTAGACCCTAAGGAATAATGATGTTGA